CTCCACTCTATATTTAGCTGCTGCCTGTCACTGAGGCCCTGATGAAGGAGAGGAAAATGAGTGGTGATGTTGGAGACCATGGGAAAGGTTAACGCTGTCTCTTTGAATAGCTTCAGACTCTCCCCTAATCATTCAGCTATAGTGCAAACAATAAGATCTATATTCAGGCTAAAATAAATTAAATGTAAGCCCCTGTTAAAATCTACATAAAAGAACAAAAAATAAAATAAAAATAAAAATGAGCAAATTCAAGTTGTCATGTCTATAACCATAAGCACAAAATGAAACATTTTAAATGACCTGCACTGGCAAATTTTAGCATGCACAGGGATGGATGTGGACTCGGTGCCATATAGTGAGCTGTCAGCAGACCAAAGCAACAAAAAATAAAAACTGTATATCCATCCATCCATTATCTATACCGCTTATCCTGAAGAGGGTTGCAGGATGACTAGAGCCAATCCCATCTGACAGTGGACGGGAAGCAGGGTCCACCCCAGACAGGTCGCCAGTCCAGTCTAGAAAACCCATGAAACCTCGATCGAGTCAGACACTCACATCTTACCTTTCAGAGCAATTTCATTTGAAAATATACACTGACCTGTCCAAAATGATTCATGATTGGGGTGGTTTTTGTACCCACATGGCTTGACATCACTTTAATATGCTAAACACACCCTAGAGTCAAGAGTAACAAGAGCAGAGCAGTTTGAAAGATGAGCTGATCCTTTAGAAAAATCAGCAGAAATACTTAGATATTTGGAAGGCTGATTGTAATTATTTATACTGCCTCAGTGTTATCTGCTTTGTTTAGAGCCAACTAATCTAAGAGCAAAGTTATGAACTTATTTAACATTTCTGAACTTAAAACATATATTAACTTAAACCACTGTGGGTGATAAAACAATCTGTGGATTATCAGCCAGTTGTACATACACTAAAGTCTGTCTGGATATCTGAAAGAGCCAGCACCATCATATACTGTATTGAAAGTTACAATAAGGCATTCAATAGACACAGCTGGCAGAGGTATTATGTATGACTAAGGTGACAATAGCAAACGTTATTTTTATTAGTCTCATTTGTTTTGTTCTGCTGAATTAATTTCAAGATTGCAGAAACAAAAAAAAAAGTTTTTATTTGTTCTATGAGTATCTGACAAATGATGTAAATATATAATGTTATTTATTTCTGTAATCAGATATTCATTGGTTGTAAGCATAGTTTCACATCATGGAGGAATTTACACAAGGATTATTCACAACACATTGTATTTTTTTTTTAATGCTGGTCCTTGAGTTATTTTTAAATCACTATTAAGGTATATTAAGCAATGAACTTCAACACACACTCTGGAAAGAAGCCTTTAAACTGCCAAAGTAAAGTCTCGTATGAGACTCAGCTGGAGCTGTTTGTGTCTCCCCTCAGGGTTGGGTACTTATGCTAAAAGCTGCCTGAGGGTGTCAGAGAGAACTTTTATGGCTACTTGACATGATCCACAGCAAAATCCATGCAAAACACAAAAACACACATTTACACACAAAGGTAAACTTGCAATCACACACAGTCCGAAAATGTTATGAAGCGTAAATAATTTATCCCAGTTTACCAACAAACTTTACTTTTACAAAGTGACTAGGTTTGGAACCAGATATACAACAAAGTCAGATGAGACTAATAGACATTTTCTGGAGAATTTGCAAGATGCAAGTATCTGCTGCTGCTGCTTCAAGCATTTCTGTGACACATGGTTCAGTTCTTAAGGTGATCCTTGGATCAGGTTCTAGGTTCATTGGAGATCCAGAGATTTTCTTGAAATGATCCCAAGTTCATCCATTCACAAATACAGATATATAAATAACCTATTATTATGCTTCACACATACTTTCAAATCTTCAATATGAAAGGTCTGGAAATCAAGCTAGCACTAGCATCACCACATACAGTACATTCAAGGTTTGAGCCGTTACCATAAAAATCTAAATTTGCATGCTAGTCACATACATCCCTCCTTTATTCATCTCTCCCTCCCTCATCTTTACTCCCTATTGCTGTTAAGAGCTCTCTTTTCCCTCATCAAAAAATAATTCAGCAATAAATAATGAGTCAGACCTTTAATTGTGGAACAAAATGAAGCATTTTGAAGAGTTTGAGGCTGTGGCTAATATGCTAATTCACGCTGTAATTTGAGAAAAACAGTTAAGTGTAATAGTATGGCTTGACCCAGGTTTTTGTTGCAAAGAAAAGACTAAGAGGCCTCTGTTGTGTAGCTAACACAAAACAATAAACATCACCTCACTGTCTGCACATCTGTGCAGCTTGAAAGCGTTACATATGCAATACCGTTAAAGTGCTCCTGCCTCTCCAAGTATTTTTGCTTGCTTGTTGCCTACAATAACTGAGATGCACCCTGCAGTTTTGAACATGGTAACTACACAATATAATACTTCACACTGTTTCTCTAAAACCCTTTCAAACATGCACAACTTTCCATGAATCTGATGGCATCTGAACCTGTCAGATGACATGGAGCCACCAACGTTTTATTGCAAAGTTGGAAACTTAATTTAATTTAACTTTAATTTTCACCAAGATGTTTTATATATATACACACATATATATATAAAACACCAAGCCCCAACCTCCATATGGCCAAGGAGGACATGAGCTCTCTTCACTGCCAACTCTGAGCTACAACAAAATTATAATGTAGCCGTCTCTGACTGCACACAGCTAACGAGAAAAGGAGAAAAGAAGAAGAGAGATGAGCAGATAATCTCTCCTCTCTACCCTCTGTGCCCAGAACGAGGAAACTGAGAGGGTGAGGACCTCTGCTGGGACAAGCATGGATGAGATGTGGCAAAGAAAAGTCAGTCAGCTTAAAAAAAAAAAAAACTCCTCAGTGAAAAAGGACAAGCTGCTCACCAGGGAAACTCAAAACTAATGCTCACATAGACAATTTGAATGAGCTGAGTGCTGTGCAGACAGCTCTGGGGCAGAGCACACTGAGAGCAGACGCCCTGGAACAACAACTGACAAAGCTGCTGGCTGAAAAAGAGGAGAGTCACCAGAAAGAGCTCAGTCAGAAAGAAGCTGAAGGCGCTCTCAGGAAAAGAGGAAAACTGCAGGAACCAGCTGGCTCAGACAAAGAAATTGTTTTTACAGAGGCAAGAGAAGAAGCTCTGGGAGAAAGTGGAAGGTTGGAAAAAGCAGCTGTTTGACAAAGAGAGCCTCCACAATGAGCTGCTGGCCAAAGAGAAGTCATGTGCCCACATGGAGGCAGAGATGGAAGGATGAGATCCAGCACCTCTAGAATGAGCTCCATGACAAAGTGGACAAGCCCAGAAATGTGTAGCAGGTAGAAGACGAGAGTATGGCAGTGTGGGAGAGAGGAGATGGAGCTGAAAGACGTGCTGCTGGCCAAAGAGAAGTTATGAATCCACATGGAGGCAGAGATGGAAGGATGAGATCCAATGCCTCACAGAGGAAAACATCCAGCTTCAGGTATGCAGCCTTGGCTGAATGTTTTAATTCTAAGTATTTCACATGACTTCAGACCTTTGGAAGTGAGATTTAAAAAATACTGTCTCTCTCTTTTCAGCAGTTCACAACAGAATAGAAGCAAAAGAAGAACCTCTGACGCTGAAGTTTGAAAACATAAAAACAACCCAGCCCACTTTTTTCCCTAACCCCATCTCCCCTTCCTACCCCTACCCTACAGTGTTTGTTTGTTGTGTCCTGATGGTTTCCTTTTCTCTCTCCTCTATCCATTCACCCCAACCGATTGAGGCACTATGGCGGCCCACCGAGAGCCTGGGTCTGTCAGAGGTTTCTTCCATTAAATGGAGTTTTTCCTCAAGGGGGATTTGTTGGGTTTTCTCTATGTACAGATGATTTTTGCTGTGAACTGGCACTAAAACTAATTTGAATGTACTTTTATATTTTTCAATAAGCTATTTAAAAAGTTTGTCATAGCCTGATTTTAAAATGAGAAAAAATATAGCTTAAAATAAAATGAATAGGAGTGCTGACAGAACAGGTTTTGGTTTCATATTTTCTGTCCCATTCAGGGGAGATTATCCAAAGGCACTTGCATAAAATCATGTACGATCATGTACACTTATGTGGGTGAAGGTGTGTATTATCACACCCACTTTGGTAACCTGGTTGATAGGAGAAATCAGGCTAAGCAGTTAATAGGGGAATGCATTTGCATGCATTGTAATAACCTGGTTATGGTAAATCCACAGATGAGGCAGATCAGATTTCTCCTCCATCCTTGACTTCTTTTTGGCATGATAGATAGTGGTAGATAGATAGACACACTGTGTCTGTGTCAAAACAGACTGACAAGAGAGAAAGAGGCGGGCAGACAGAAGGGAACTCCTTTTCACAGCTCAAACTGTCTGATTCTAACACAAACTCAAAGGTTCAGCGACTGTGTCTGTGTCAAAACAGACTGACAGTGCAGTGAGAGAAAGAGGCGGGCAGACAGAATGGAATCTGATTTATTAGACTTTCAGATCACTTTGCGTCAGTTTCACTTTTAGTCAGACTTAAGGCAGCCCTCACCGACTGTCCTGTGTGCCAGTGCATTATGTGAGAGTGTGCACGTTTGTGTTTTTGTGAAGTGTCAGCACCTGCCCGTTGCTTCAAGTTTACACATACAGTATATTTTTGTGTGTCTGTGTGTGTGTAGACATGCAACAAACTCACATATATCCAAACTTAATTTGTACAGTTATGTGCACACAGTCTTATGTATGTTTGATGAAGAAAGGGACATTGCGACCTCCCAAAACCCCACATACAAACACACAATCTATTTTTACCTGACAGTGTTTAAGGACACACACACACACACACACACACACACATATAAGCATATCCTTTCCACACAATAGTGTGAATGGTACAGTATGTTACCTGATAAACACCTTACAACCCCCATATCCACAAATGCACTTACATACAAACAGAGAAAAGGGTTCAGATGTTACCTGATGCTGCTCATGCTGCCCGTCTCTGATCCCAGCTTGCATCTCTCCAGCTGTGTGGCGACAATCTGACGCTCAGCCTCAAGTTCCCTGGTTAAGCGTTCAAACTGAAGCTCCTGAAGAGAGAGATAAAGACAGTGTGTGTGTGTGGTTACACAGGGCAAGAGGACTGTGGTTCTGCAGAGAATCTCTGATGTATGAAAGTTTAGAACGGATGCTAAAGTTCCCGTCTTTACTTCAGTAATATCAAAGTTTAAATTACATTTACTTTTTTCCTTCCCATCTGACTGGTCATCAGTGGGAGAAGGGTGAGGTATAGTAACCTCTTCAAGCCACCTGACAAAACTGGATTATTTGACTGTAGATAATGGGCTGCTCTGAAACAGAAGTGAAACGCTGTCCAGGAAACAGCTTAGGGATGTGACAGATAAAACGAAGTGTCATCATTAACACGACTATGGTTGACAGGTAAGAAGAGGCACGAGGCATAGAGACTAGTTGAAAGTGCTCAAAAAAGCTTTTAATTGTGTCTTTCTGTGTGGTTGTCACTGCAGTAGTTGAAGGACTTCTCCTGAAACTGGGTTAGAGACAGTAAATCGAAAGAACAAGAATGTGGAATTCATTCAAGAAATAAGTCATTTTCCTGTTTGCTTCAGCAATGCCGCTTTCACTTTTAAAAGTGACAATCTTAAAAAAGTAAAAAAAGAAAAATGGAAACAAGAATGTATGATTTTCTTCTACAGGGTAGCTGTGAATACAAGTCCTGCACTAACAAAATGATGACGCATTTACTGACTGGGTGATCTCACTTTATTGAAAGTCACATTTTAAGTAATGGTGTTTGGCACCTGATGCAAAAATACTTGGGATTTTGAGGTTAAATTACTTCACACACTGCATAGAGAATTAGATGTAAAGGGGAAGAACAACACAAACTAAAGATGAATCCCAATGACAACAGGCTGTGTCATAAATGTTTTCGTTTTATAAACTACTGAGTAGATGTGATGCAGACCATTTTAATTGGAACCTAATGTAGATGTGTATGCTTTTATTTCCTGTAACGTGCATCTGTCAGACTGTATGCAGTGTTAAATGATTTTATGTGGCACTTTAGTCTGGTGGGTTGCGGGTTCCTGTCAATTTATACAAATGTGAACACTCACTATTGGAAGCTGCTTGCTTTAAGGGTGCATAGATGGTACAGCAGACTCTAGGGGAAGCATGAGCATGTGCTTCTGACTACCTCTGAATGCATCACTCTTAATCCAACCTTGCTTGTGTGTGCGCTGCTGCATTAGTGGCTTACTGAGAGTTTCATATCAGTCATCTAGCTATAAGCCAGAAAGATTAAATTTCACACCAGAAATCAGTGTGTGCATCATATGTGTGGTACTGTGTGCAAGATTGACAGAGAGCATGTGAGAAAGACGTAGGGAGAGTGTATGCTCATTTGATTGGTTTTCTCAAAGCCAGTTGAAGCTCTGAATGAGTTGATTCCCAGTCACTATCTCCACTCTCGAATTTCAATCCTCTCTCCTCCCCAATACTACAGAGCACAATGGAATTAATCTCTTTCACCTCTTTTTCCCCACACGCACTTACAGGAACCACTCAGTCTTTCTTCCATCTACCTCACATTAATGTTCTTGCTTTCTTCTTTTTCTCCATTCATTTTTGTCCCTCATTCTCGCACACGTACACAAAAATGCACTTAAGTGTTCAAAGCTGACCACCAAATCATAAAGCTGTGTAGCACTAGTAAAAGCAGTACCTTGATTTCACAGTAGTAAATTCCTTTATCTGTGAAACATTACCACTTACTGTATGCCCATGTGATGCAAGTTCACACGGTTGTACTGTTACACTACTAGCCAGGCACATTTACAAGGTGCTTTCTTTCTACTCCTCTCTAGATCTTCATTAAGTCAGGTTCTCTTCACCTACCTCCTGTCACTAACTCCTTTTTAGCTTCTCCTTTCTCTACCTGTGACAAGATAAATCTCATATGTGGGAACAGCAAAGTAGCAGGTTCAGTCACCTCTGTGATTTGCAAAGTGAGAACCCTCTGGACCCATAATTCTAAATTACAGCAAGGTGTCTCATGTCAAAGCCCTGCTCTGTCCCCACTGCAGACTGCTTTGTCACCTTGTTTACCACAGCTGTTTTAAATCCTCAAGGTGTAAAAATGCAAATCCCTATGCCTTACGTAGCATTATGCTAAGTGATGATATATAATGCCTCAATGGCAAAGTCTTTCAAATGCCATTTAAATTAGCATGGTAAACGCCTGTATACCAAAACAAACGGGAGATCTGACAGTATTGTACCTCGGTGAAATGTGTTCATTTATGTACAATCCTCAAATACAGCGCTTGTTCAAATCTCTTAGCCCATAGAAGTGCTATGTTGTTGTATGTTATGATAAATGATGCTGCTGACAAATACCTTCAAAGCACATTCATGGATTGGCTAAGTCATAGTACCAACGTTTCCTACCAGATGAGTGAGTTTAACTGACTTGTCAAACTACATACATTTTGACTGGCTGAAGCAGGACAGTAATGAGCAGATCTGAAGCTATCCTAACTACTGTGTGAACAGAGGATGATTTATAGTTTAGGAGCTCTCTGTACTGCAGTTTTTGTTTTATCTACAGTAATGTTAAAGGATCCATTAAAGAACTTTTTTAGACACACACACAATTTGTGAACAACAGTATGTTCAGACAGAAACAGCTGTGTAAAACACTTCCAGAACAATCATTAGAACTTAGCGCTGATATTTTAAAAAAGCAAGTACTACACAAAAAACTTTAATGATTTAGAAAACATACTTTTTAAGTATTTTTTTTCCATAGCACACATATGCATAATCACAAAATGAAAAAGGTGTTGGATCCCACTGTGCTTGTGCTGAGTGTGTGTGTGTGTCACTGCTTCCCTCTCAGAAATGAATAGGGTACAGAAAGCAGCACACAGTCACAAAGGTCTCTATGGCAACTGTAGAGCCCTTTCCACCTCATAGCATTAGAAATTTGGTCTGGACTTCTTCCACACAAAATCTGTGCCCTTTCACATACCTGCGGTCTTCTCACTGAGGTGTCTATATGTACTGTATTTGAGTGTTTCTCCTACAAGAAAAAAAACAGAGGGTGGGGGCTAGGGGTAATGTTTTCAAAGTGAAAGAATGTATTTTATGCCTATGGCACAGTTTTGTCATAATGTTCTTTAAAATAACACAACCAGCAGTGGTGGCAACTACGCAAACATGCTTTTTTCTGGTTACTGGGACAGTTTTTGGAACATATCAGCATCATTTTAGTTATGTTGCAATAGTTTGGTCTTACAGCATTTTGCAGTGCTCCTTAGATGTCAACGTCAGTATCAGATAAAGAAAACAATTTACCAACACCTGCAGGAAAGCGATCAATCTCCATTTTAGAGAGCAATATTTACTTGACTGTCCCCAATTTCAGTTTAACCTCAGCAGTATTTTTCCGTTTTATTCTCAGAAACATTTCATTTGGCAGTTAATGCTAATTAGACAGCTGCAAAGCAACAAAAACAATGTAACAGCTTTCTCTCTGCACTCTATACTTTTCCAACTCACAGCTGCACTTGAAATTTAGTTTGGACAAAAAGGGGAGAAAATAAGACAGTATAAACATACATTGACCTGCTAAGGCAATTTCAAATGCAGATACAGTATTAACTTCTTGTTGTATATGGGCATTTATCATACACGCTAGCTAAAGTATATACAGATATGCACTTGCACTCATGGCTATGTGCATGCATGTTCAACCGCTTGGCTTCAGTGTCCCTTTAGGAAGGCATTAGAACCTAATTCGCTGGTCATACATACAGTTTCAGAAAGCTGGACCAGCAACTTATTCATTGTGAATGCGACATGGATCGTGGCCCTACGCCCCCTGCTGAGCTTGAACGATTCACATAGCAATCAGCTACACTAAAGGGGAAAGCTGAAAAAGGCTCAACATTACACAAATATCTTCTGACACAGTGCAAGCAACAGTTAGGCAAGAGCCAAACCAAAGCACAAACTTGGTACTATTCCACCTGACTGGTGAAGGAACTTTAACCTTTTTAAGTGTAAATACAACAAAGGAAAAGCCAACTGTCGGGGCTTCAGCTTTTGGATTCTCCACAATGCCTGACATGAAACAAATTGCTGCCATTGTTTGTGTGTCTGGCAGCAGCCAATACGCTATAAGTCAACTCGGAGCAGAGCATGTAAATTATGTGCTCAGCACAACAAAACCCCCAGAACTAGAAACTCCAACTGAGAGTCCAGGGACTGGCAACTACTTTGTATCCATATGTGTAATGCACCATGATCGTTCCAGAGGCACAATACAGAGATGACCTCCCTGTGGAAGAGGGCAAAAGGAGAATGGAGAGGAAATTCCCCAAATGGGATGCAGAGAACATCACATCGTTTAATAGCATACTCACTTAGCCAGCATTATTTAGAATAAAAGCATAACCAAACTACACAGAAGAAAAATAAAATAGCTAAATCCATAAAGTCCAAGTTTAACTTTGTAGAAATGAAACTTCTGTTAAGAGCTTTTCATAATGTTTGGTTCTGTATGAGAGAATAAAATAACACCTCAGGCAATTCTTACTGCAGGGCAGGGAATATTGTACATTACAACACACAGCTAATGAATTCAAGACCAAGAACACTTCCAGGACTCAGCCTTTTAAAGTTGTCTTTGTGAATTCCACTTATTTTATTTACTGCCAGGTTTTTGTACATAAAAAGTGTAATAAACATAATTTATTTTGTTTGAACTCTGGAGGGGCTGCCCAAATATAGCAGGCTACCTTTGGTATGGTATATATACCAGCCATGGCCTAATTCTGTTGAAGGATATTTCCCAGTTACGCTTAACCAGTGAAACTCAGAGAGACGAGGTGGTCCAAGTGCTCAGGTATCTTGCACCTCCAATACTGCGCACAGGCAGATGAAGAATGTAAGACCCCGAACCCAACAGGCCTGTACATTATATCTGGTTTGGGCTAACCCCATTCTACACAGGCATGTCAAACCGTAGCGTCACCTGATATGTCAGCTTTACAGCTGAGCG